AAGAGACAGCTGGTACGGAGTTAATGCATGCAAGTAGTAATCAGAAAAAAAAAACTTAAGCTTTCGAATTGCACTGAAACATTAAATCGCCTTGGAGCTCTTTAATTTTCTGCAAAAAAATTATGATTGACACTTTTTTGACAAATTAATTCAATTTGAGAAAACTGGATCAGCAGGTAGTCTTTATTCCGCTGCGAAGTCTCGAAAATTAAAATCCATTTTCGAACCTTGAAGTCGATAAAGTTTTTGTGACCTTCACACTTTTGCTACTGATAGCAAATTTTGCTTTTCTTGTAACAAAGGAAATGAACTAAACTCAGGTAATCAAAAGTCAAATCGCGAGACATCAAAAGTGATCGTAAACAAATTAAGATTTTTCCCCGAAAAAAAAACCACCACGAGCATTATAAGAAACTTCACTACGTTCATCCATTCTTAAAAAAACTGATCAACCTTGACAAGCGAAAATTAACTTTGTTCATTAACACGTACATACTAAGTAACACTGGCTCTTTTCCACTCCACTATATTTGAATTTCAATATTGAAAACTTCTTTACCATTGTCAAAATGCAATGGCATGTTTAACAAACTAAAAAAAGTGATCTGATTTGTTCTTCTTACGTTGCATCGTAACATCACGCATTTAGCCATAGCACATAACAACTAAATAATTAGAAAAGAGACCACTAAGTTCTTACCCTCTTCTTCAGCAATAAGCCTTAAACGCTGTTCCAGTACAATCTGAGCGCGATTTCCAACTTCGAACATTCTGAATGCCAATTGATTGGCAACTCATTTGGATTGCCTATCCACTGATTAAATCTAGCTTCTCTTTTTTTGTTTTTTCTCTTGAAAATGCGACTCAAAAATATAGAAGAATATTTTTATTTTACAATCGTACACTCTTGCTTTAATGGCAATTTATTTACATATTTACAAGTATACACGCCTCAATTTAATGATGGTTTTAGTTTCCATTGATATTCCATTAATGATTTACAAGCTGTCAAGTTATAATTTTTTACAATTGATGTTTATACCCTGACAGGAAACTGTTTTTTAAAATTTTTTAAAATTTACCAGGACAATTTTCTTTAAAAAGAGCACATTACTCAGGTATACACAATGCAACTAATGGCTTAAATTTGCGGTTGCATTGAGTAAAGAAAATCAATTAGCATGACGATAACACATTTTTGGGAAAATTAGACATGGCTCATGATGAAATGAAAAAGATGATATCAAGTGCATCTGGTTGAGATTAACCCATTTTGAGATTTGATTTTTTACGGATCTCTTAAGCAATCCCCCCCCACACACAAAAACTTCATTTTTGAAAATAGGACAGCTGTTTGATTCATGCTATGCGCTCATATCTCATGTTCGGAGCCACCCCCCATATACTATCCTCTGCAAGATGAGATCGGGTAAATTAGCTATAGCTCACGCTTTTAATTTATCGGTTTCCTCACGTAGCAGCTTGATTGACAACTCGGCACAGCTAATTAGGTCTAACATTTATCAGGTCTAAATATAACTAGATTTTTGGTAGTGATGGTTCATTTCATTACTAGATATCATAAAGAGGGCGAGATTGATCACTAGATCCGGTTAGTTAAGTCAAGTATGTATGTTTATTTCTTCTTGCCGCCCTTGCTTCCGGGTCTCTTTCCAGGGGCGACAGTAGACTGGGTCTCCTCGATCGACTGTAGCTTCTGGTTCATCACTTCGTCATTATTCTTTATGTTCTCCTCCAGGGCACTCTTCATCTCTTTCAAGTGTTTGTCCAACTCCTCCTGTATTATATTCTTCAACTCCTTCATCGCCGGCGTCTCATCCTGGTCAATAGAAGAAAAACACAAAATAACACTGCCTAAAATTTAATTTGACACGGCGGCGAAGCAGAGCTTCGCACCACTTTCTAGGCAAAAAAGCCAATATTCGAAAAAAAAATAAGACTTAAATGACTCGATGCACAATTTTAATTAAATTATTCAAATATTTATGGTTTATAAAAAGATTGTTTAAATTGAATTTACAATTAAAATTAGAAAATTTATATTGAAAAAATCCTATAAAACGTGATATCTCGATAATCAGAAAGATTTGAGCACTCGAAGTTGAAAGATAGATGTGCATCTCCTGATAGTACTGAGAAAGCACACCAAATTGATGATCTTTGGGGGTCAGAGGACAAACACATCCTGAGGTGAAGGTACCTTGACGGCACCCCACCAAAGTATTGAGATTTTCAAACTTAGGGAGGTTTTTCTAAATCTTTCTGAAGCATTGCAATATATGATGTAGCTGAAACATCGTTAAACATGCGAAAGAAAGAACACAGTAAACATACACCTACACTTAGAAGAGTAAATGCATGCAGGGAAACAAAAAAAAATCTTTTTTTTTCTTTTTGGAAAATTTCAAGTTTTGAATTCCAGACATATATGGCTCTTTTTTGAATTTGAAGAATATTTTATGATTTACACTTTTTAATGACATTAGCTCAAGTTAGGCAAACTGGATCATTTACTTTTGTGAAATCTGAAATTTAACTTTTGAAATTAGAAATTTAGTAGGGTTTTTGTGAACTTTACGCTTGTGCTGTTCGATAGTTAAGTTTGCTTTACATTCAGTAAAAGAAATGAAATGAACTTAGAAACATAGAAACTTTAGCCATGAAAATCAAATTTAAGCGTGAAAAATTTCAAGACTTTTCCTTCAAAAAACCAAAATAGCAAATTTTTTTATGTCAAAAACTTAATGCAAAAACCTGTTGATTTTTAAAAGTCTAGCATTTAACATGCACCCGCGGGGCTTCATACAGATTGATGAATGTTAAAGTTACTAATAATTAAAATATATTATTAAAACAACGAAATTAAACTCAAGCGTAGGAATGAAGAGGAGCAGCTAAAACGATTTTTACTTCATAGATCGTCATGATTTGAGGCCAGATTTGTAACCCTTAAGAACACTAACACTGCCCTACCAGAGGTGATGGTTTCAAACCTAGCTTCAAATTTATAAAATCTATCTTTTTTATATTGAATAATTTTATTGAAAAAATCCTATAAAAAGTGATATCTCAATAATCAGAAAGATTTGAACACTCGAAGTTGAAATATAGATGTCCATTCCCTGATACTACGGAAAAAGCACCCCAAATTGATGTTCGCAATATCATTTTGTGTGAAATTGTTTAACATAAGTTATTGAAAATGTCATAACTTGGACACTAACACGGTTGAGGGAGTAATAACTGAGGGCAACATATTCAAAGCCTGAGAATACCTGATAGCACATCACTATAGTGTCGAGAATTTTGCAATTTGCAAAGTATCGGCCCAGTAAAAATCACAAAAATCGCCATATATTCAAAACTTGATACCACCTCATCAGAGGTTAGTTAAATGTATTTCGTGAAATAAACTTTGAAACAAAAAACTCAAAACTCGAGAAGATCAAAATAGGGTCTTCTTAAACATATGTCAAGAGGCACGTCCGTTCAATGGACAAAAGACATAAATAGCTGAGAATAGATGGATGAATTTGACACTACTCAACACTGCGATGCCTATATCCTCCCCTCTAATGTGTTATGACAGCTACAGCCTTAAACTCGGGCCTTACCATTGCCAAAAAAACTTAAGCATTGCGATATACGATAGCTGAAATGTGTTAAGATTCTTTCGCTAAACGTGCAAGAATAATACGTTGAATCAGCTTAAACATCGGGAATGCGAAGCCCGCATTTAAACATTAATAGATGTTTATAGCTATATCAATGTGCATAGCCGCTCAACAATGCTTGCTAAACTCCCATAAAATTGTACATAGTGGCATCTCAACAACAAAATATTGGCAATTAATAGTCAACAAATTGATCAAATGGAGAATGAGCTATTTCAGAATTACAATACCCTTGATATAGCAAGTTTAAAAACTAAGTTTCAATTTTGAAACTTTAAGTATTAAACATTTTTTGCGCCTTTTGCACTTCGGTTTTTGATCAGCGTAACATGCCTGCTTTTAACCAACTAAGCTTGAAGTGTACTTAAAAAGCCAATTCATAGCGATAAATTAAAACTTTGAGCGAGAAAATTTCCTGAATACAAAATTGCGAAGAGACAGCTGGTACGGAGTTAATGCATGCAAGTAGTAATCAGAAAAAAAAAACTTAAGCTTTCGAATTGCACTGAAACATTAAATCGCCTTGGAGCTCTTTAATTTTCTGCAAAAAAATTATGATTGACACTTTTTTGACAAATTAATTCAATTTGAGAAAACTGGATCAGCAGGTAGTCTTTATTCCGCTGCGAAGTCTCGAAAATTAAAATCCATTTTCGAACCTTGAAGTCGATTAAGTTTTTGTGACCTTTACACTTTTGCTACTGATAGGAAATTTTGCTTTCCTTGTAACAAAGGAAATGAACTAAACACAGGTAATCAAAAGTCAAATCGCGAGACATCAAAAGTGATCGTAAACAAATTAAGACTTTTCCCCGAAAAAAAAACCACCACGAGCATTATAAGAAACTTCACTACGATCATCCATTCTTAAAAAAACTGATCAACCTTGACAAGTGAAAATTAACTTTGTTCATTAACACGTACATACTAAGTAACACTGGCTCTTTTCCACTCCACTATATTTGAATTTCAATATTGAAAACTTCTTTACCATTGTCAAAATGCAATGGCATGTTTAACAAACTAAAAAATGTGATCTGATTTGTTCTTCTTACGTTGCATCGTAACATCACGCATTTAGCCATAGCACATAACAACTAAATAATTAGAAAAGAGCCCACTAAGTTCTTACCCTCTTCTTCAGCAATAAGCCTTAAACACTGTTCCAGTACATTCTGAGCGCGATTTCCAACTTCGAACATTCTGAATGCCAATTGATTGGCAACTCATTTGGATTGCCTATTCACTGATTAAATCTAGCTTCTCTTTTTTTGTTTTTTCTCTTGAAAATGCGACTCAAAAATATAGAAGAATATTTTTATTTTACAATCGTACACTCTTGCTTTAATGGCAATTTATTTACATATTTACAAGTATACACGCCTCAATTTAATGATGGTTTTAGTTTCCATTGATATTCCATTAATGATTTACAAGCTGTCAAGTTATATTTTTTTACAATTGATGTTTATACCCTGACAGGAAACTGTTTTTTAAAATTTTTTAAAATTTACCAGGACAACTTTCTTTAAAAAGAGCACATTACTCAGGTATACAGAATGCAACTAATGGCTTAAATTTGCGGTTGCATTGAGTAAAGAAAATCAATTAGCACGACGAACACATTTTTGGGAAAATTAGACATGGCTCATGATGAAATGAAAAAGATGATATCAAGTGCATCTGGTTGAGATTAACCCATTTTGAGATTTGATTTTTTACGGATCTCTTAAGCAATCCCCCCCACACAAAAAACTTCATTTTTGAAAATAGGACAGCTGTTTGATTCATGCTATGCGCTCATATCTCATGTTCGGAGCCACCCCCTATATACTATCCTCTGCAAGATGAGTTCGGGTAAATTAGCTATAGCTCACGCTTTTAATTTATCGGTTTCCTCACGTAGCAGCTTGATTGACAACTCGGCACAGCTAATTAGGTCTAACATTTATCAGGTCTAAATGGGTGCCGGACATCAAGCCGACGGGACTTCAAGCCGAATCGTAAAATTAGGGACTTCAAGCCGAATAGTTCCTTATAAACTAGTGAAATATGATTAATTTGAAAACCATTTTGAAGAAATTCCGAATTTCATGATCTTTCTTCACAAGTTATTGGCGTTTTCATAAAATTTAAGCCTTCAAATGATGTTTCGGAAAGTTGGAAAGTAAAACATGGTTGAAGGCATTTTTCAAGTTTATAATTTATGCATTTCAAAAACCGGCTGATGTTATTAACGGATGCCAATCACAAGCGGTGCATTGTCATGAATAACGTTTATTATGGGCTAAACTTGCCAAAATTTTTAAAAAAAATAACGTTTTACAGATGATAAAATAGTGTTTTGAGGTACTTGTAAAGTTTTAATTTCGGCTTGAAGTCCCTTCGGCTTGAAGTCCCGTCGGCTTGTTGTCCTAGACCCGGTCTAAATATAACTAGATTTTTGGTAGTGAGGGTTCATTTCATTACTAGATATCATAAAGAGGGCGAGATTGATCACTAGATCCGGTTAGTTAAGTCAAGTATGTATGTTTATTTCTTCTTGCCGCCCTTGCTTCCGGGTCTCTTTCCAGGGGCGACAGTAGACTGGGTCTCCTCGATCGACTGTAGCTTCTGGTTCATCACTTCGTCATTATTCTTTATGTTCTCCTCCAGGGAACTCTTCATCTCTTTCAAGTGTTTGTCCAACTCCTCCTGTATTATATTCTTCAACTCCTTCATCGCCGGCGTCTCATCCTGGTCAATAGAAGAAAAACACAAAATAACACTGCCTAAAACTTAATTTGACACGGCGACGAAGCAGAGCTTCGCACCACTTTCTAGGCAAAAAAGCCAATATTCGAAAAAAATAAGACTTAAATGACTTGATGCACAATTTTAATTAAATTATTCAAATATTTATGTTTTATAAAACGTTTTCGCATAGTTTTGTTATCAAATAATTGAGTCGAACAGGATTTAGAATAGGGTTACACCTTTTGTTCAAACAGCACCATATTAAATCTAATAAAATCTAAGCAAAATTTTTAAATCATTTTCATCAAAAATAAAAGTTTGTCGGCGTACCTCCTCCTCCTCTTCGTCCTCGTCTGCGATTTCAACGGTGATTCCAGTGGCTGCAGTGCCTGGCTTTGACTCCTGCTCTTCAGCGGACGCTTCACTCCCTGTGTCGTACAGACCTGTAATCCATTAACTTCAATAAGCAATGATTCGCTATGTATTACTAATTTTGAAAGCACTTAAATACTCACATTATTCTCAAAAAAAAGATGGAAGACTTGATTGATAGCATAAGATTAAACACAGAAGCGAAGCCCAGCTTCGCACCATTTGCGATACAAACAAACAAAGAAAAAACATGAGTCGGAGAAATTTTAGATGCTAAAAAAATAGGTAAACTTAAAGTTAGGTATGTCTCGATAAAAAAACAACTAGGGGCCCTGGTAAAGCTGGAGTTACGTACATGATATTGAACAAATTTACTATGCTGATGCGGCACGAAAAGCATTATTTCAAAAATTGCACTTTGCCTTAAACTTTCCTTGTTTCTCTACTAAGTGAGAAGAATAAGAAGAAATGTTGAGATAATCAATTTTCCCAAGAAGATATCATTTCTCTTATAAAAAAGTGAGGAGTCGCCGCTTCTGCATGAACAATTATCGCAACCTGTTCTTTCAAAGGAACTTTTAATCTCAGATTTGATCGCGTACATTATAAGAAAATTCAAAAAGTTTCTAAAAAAACGGTCAAAAGACTTTCCAAAATCCATAACGTTTTTCTGCAAAAAAACAGGTTATGGTCGCTTAAGAACAGAGAATTCCTCAAGCCGGGTTTTTCGATTGAACAAAACCTGAGAATTGGCCGGGTGGTTTTTGCGTGGAGCCAATAGTTTTCCAGAAAGCTACCAGCTTCAAAACTTCGACTTGTTTGAAGGCCATAAGTTTTTTTTCTTAAACAAACTGGGGATAGCCAATTATACAGAAGCGAAAAAAACTGAAGTTTTTGCAAAAAGCGAAAAAAATCCTAAACGAAAATGAAATTTCAACAAACGGATTGGTAAACATAAACAAACTTGAAAAGTGCGGAGCGGAGTGTAAAAATTGTATTTAGCTTGAAACAGCTCACAATTAGATCATTAAGCCGATGAAAAACAGGCCGAAAAAATTTGGGTAGAGGATTTTCTTGAGCGAAACAAAAAAAGCAAAGGAAATACGAAGCCAAGGAAAGTAAAATTATAAACTATAGGCGTAAATCAAACACAAAAAAGAACATTGACGAAAACGCGCGTAGAAAAAACCAATTTCAAGATGTTACAACTAAGCAGCGACCGACTATTTTAATTGAAACAGAATATTTCCCGTTTGAAAAAAAAACACGTCCTGGTCAGATTCGATCCCAGGACCTTGGTCGTCCCAAGCATGTTTGTTACCTCCAGGCTAATTTGTCCGAGACGCTACATGAATACAATATGAAACAAGGTAGAGATAATCCCTGTGGACAAAGTTGTTTACGGGAAAAAGAAGTCTAGTACCCGATTGCCAAACCCTTGCTTATCGCAAGGGTAAAAAAAACAATGTTTAATTTACCATTGAACTAAAAAATTGAACGGCCAGAACGTGGTGTTTTGATTTTTGAACGACAAGCGAAATAAAATTATGTCGCGAAACCCACAAGAACTCAAAGTTCTGACTTTTTGAATGAGGTTTCAATTAGAAAAAGCGAAGAACATAGGCAATCGATTTTAGGGACCATTTCAGAGATATTATATGAAACAAAAAACTAATCATAGATTCTGCAGTCAAATTACATTCCGCCACGGAAACCACAAATCCAAAAACATTAATAACAATAAAATTGAATGCAATTTTCAACTCAGAGATGAAGGTGAGCTTCGCAGCGCTTGCGATACAACAAATATAGAATGAAAGCACCATGACGCTCAAAATTGTGCAAAAAGAACTTAGATCACGGTTTTAATTGAAAGACGAAGTAGAAAAACAAAAAGATAGCCAACAGACAGTTGGAAAAAAGTCAATGAACCGAAACAAACCAAAAATTGAAAAAAAACTCCAATTATAGAGTTGTAAGCTAAAAATAAATAGCCTTAAAGATCTTTGAATTTCAAGAGCAATTATCAATTTATAATTGGCACTTTTGTGAAAAAATTGACCACAATTGAGAAATCTGGAATATTAAAAGTTTTTGAGGAAATCTAAAAATTGAAATCCACTTTCGAAACTAGAAATCGATCAAATTTTTTCGCGCCATTTAAGCTTTCATAATTGAAGAGTGCATTTAGCCTACCCTCTAGCAAATGAACTTGAATTAAACAAAAAAAGTGCAAATTTAACTAAGGGTATTCATATATGCATTTAAAAGTAAGAATGAGTTTTTGTTTTAAGAGCATTTTAAGACTTTTCCTGAAAAACAAACAGACAAAATCACCACAGCCTATATAAGAGATTGAACTACGTTCATCAACTCTTGAAAAAAATTGTATTCGATTCAAATTTGTATCCTCTCTCGAAAGTGTATTTCTTTCATGTTTAAATTAGTTAAGTTTTTTTAAAGAAATCTTATCGGGTTGACTTGTGGCATTAGAAAATTGATGCCAGAGATTAATCAATCTCAACGAAACTATCGGACATTTTAACGAAAAAAATCGGTAAATAAGCCGGTGGAATTCTATAATTATACATAGAATGCATCATGTTCTAGATATAGCATGTTCCAGTAGTAACTAGTTCCCAGTATTAAAATATGAACTTCCATGAAACTGAGCATGCCAGCAGCATATGATCATCATAAGTGATTCAACTGATTTTGTTGAACTAGTTTTAGCCCAAAAAAGTCTATAATCCGATTTTATTACGCTTGCTAATCGCAAGTGTAATAAAAATATTAAGAAAAAATTAACTCCTGCCTTAAACGAATTCCTAAATGATGATAGTTGTATTTGAAGTTCAAAAAGTCGAGCATGTCAACCTGCACATGAAAGTAACTAAACGTATTCCTTACAGATTTGCAAGAAAAGTTGCTAACGAGAAAAGTCTAGTTCCCGATTACAAGTAACTTGCGCTCGCATATTTTGGGTGTATTCTGATTATTACCTTTGTAATTGAAACTGACATCAAGCTGTAGTTTTGGCGTAAAAACGAATTTGTAGAGCTTGAAGTGCCGAAAGTAAGAATTGACGATATACTCTGATACCAATTTAGCTTCTTCAGGGCCAAATAGCTCGATTCCGAATGGGGGTCGCTTGACGCTGTGGCACAGAATTAGATCTTTCATGTACTTGTAGCATTGAGGAAGATTATTGAACGGTGTTTCAATTGCTGCCTCATGTATACTCTTGATAATGGAAAACAATGCAGAGGTTTGTTCCAAACTGAAATTAGACTGTTTCGAAAACTGCAGAGAATAGTAATACAAGTCCACTAAAACTGTTTCCGGTTTGTTCTCCTTGTAGTTTTCTAGATTGAACAGAGAAGCCAGGAAATCTTTGACCTCCACAACGCTTTCCCATTTAGAATTTATCTCCGAGAGATTCTCTACGGCTATGTCATTCCAGATGAGTACTTTCGCTTTCAAGTCTCGAGGCAGGCGCACATCTGTGACAACATTTCCGCGTCTAAAACCTTCCGAATCTGCAGTAGTTACGGTGGTAATGCCAGCAGCAGATTTTGGAGCCAGTGATCCCTGCGTCATAATGTTAACTATCTAAAAAATTCTACTTTATGCAGAATATTTTTTAAATCTAACCCAGATACAAGTTAAGGCCTCGGACACATAATAGAAATCCAAACAAGCTAATACAGTTTTACACAGAGACCAAGTTGCACTTCGCATAAGCAAGCCACGATAATACAGATAACGCTAAAGGAAACCGAGTATTTGCACACTTTCACAACTGAATTTAAAATTACCCCTAAAATACTTCATAAAAAAAATTGTCGATTTTGATTCGTCTTTTCTCTTCAGCCACTGTCGAAAAATTTAGTGCATGTTTTTTTTCTAAATTTTGCTCACCAGTTAAATTGTTCAACGGTTGATCCTGCCTTTAAAACTTTTTTTGACAGTTTTCAGATCTCATTACTTATAAATGGCTTTGGACAAACTAGTTCAAGTTATTTTTTGAATATTTACTTAAGCGAGTAACTTCCGTTTCCCTAAAACAAAAAAAAAACAAATTCAATTACATTGAGCCAGATTGGACAACATTGTGCCAAGGTGTCCCTCAGGGCAACACATCAAGACTTCTGAAATTTAATCTGTATAAAAACGACCTAAGCAAGCTATGATTCAGTCAATCAAAAAAATTAGTGTGCAGGCGACAGGCAATTGTTTTTGTAAAACCAATATGCAGATTTTGCAAAAAAAGAACTAAAAAACAGTTGCAAAGCGTTTCCACTTTTTTTCAATCATTCAATACCAATTAAACAGGGTTTCGAAAAAATTAATTGGGTGACCAATTAATTTGCCCATTTAATTGATTGCCACGTATGTTAATTGATTGGAACACACCAATTAATTGACCGAATCAATTGGGCAATCTTCACCCATTCTCGCGTGGGGGGTAGATAGCTCAAAAGGTACTTGAGACATGTTTTTAACCACATCAAAATTGGTATGAAATCATAAATCAGTGTCTTCAACGATAGTGGAACGCCAAAATTTACAATATCTGAGCTCAAAAATTACATTCAGAGTGAAAAAAGAATCAATAAAACTAAGGCGACTTGGGTCGCATAACGCGCCTTTTTTCTGTCCTAAATGAAAAAAAAGCAACTTTAATGTGCTGCGGAGAATAGTTTTTGATATTCAGATATAAGGCTAGAGCACCAACCCTGGTAAGTCGCTTTGCTCGATGGGGCCATACAAACAAAATTTTGCAAAAAAAAATAAAATTTCACTCGGTCAACTGATTGCGTGCTACGAACACATTAACCATGTACTTGCGTTTGCTGACGTCTTTTTGTAGCGTTTTACCGTTTTTGCTGGGGGGGGGGGGGGGGAGAGAGAGCTCAGTTGGTCATTACGGTGGAAGGGGGGGGGAGAGATTGCTCAATTGACCAATTAATGACCAACACAGAAGAAAAAATTACTATCACCCAAGGACAAGGTAGCGGTTGGACTTATTTGTTCAATTACATAAAAGTCATCACCCAGAATAGAAAACCCAGCCAGTCGGCGGTCAGCCTTTGGTTACAGATCACTTCTCATTCCCAGTCGAGAAATTATATGGATGGATTGAGTGGGTAGTACACGGTCTCAAACACTTCAGCTTCGTGGAAGATGAAATTACGAAAAAATACACGACTTGAAGCCGATATCACGACCAACGCTGAAAAAAAACACATGGCAGCTAAGGCGCAAAAGCAGAAGAGAAACAAATTGCAGTTTTGCTACCTGATCAATTTTTTCTGATTATTGATGGTTGGTCTAACGAGAGTACACATTTTTGGGAGTGTTTGCTTCTTATCATGAAACAAACGAGAAAGGTTATTCGACGAGAGTTGACAGATTTTTAGAGTTGAAGCCGTATTTCACCAATTTTCATAGCAATCAAAACCTGTTTGACTTCATAATCACAGCATGTGAAAATTCGGAACTTGAAAAACTGCAAACATATATGATTAAACTAAATTCTCGAAAGCGCTCCAAAGTACTTCAATTGATTTATCAGACGTGAGATCTCTTTTCTACCATGTTGAAATTTTCCTGCAACCAAAATGTACTTGTGCCAGACAGCAAACATAACTTTAAATCATACTTTGAGAATGCTGTTGTCAAACTCTTGTCTAGCTCAGACGATAACCTGGAAAACGATGAAAAAGAGGCCGCGGAAAAACTGAAGAAAAACAATCAGCGAGTCGAAGCGGTTGATAATGAGAAAGACGATTTTTCTCAAACAATAATCAAGAAGCGAAGACAGAGTATCCACACAGAATCTCGATATGTAATCTGCAAATATATTCTACCTACTGCAAATCTTGTGGAGAGATTTTTCAGTACTGCCGGTTATGTCTATTCATACTTGAGACAACCTATTTCGCCGTCAAACTTGAAATTCAACTTTTTCTCGAAGTTAACTACTACTACTACTACTACTACTACTAAAAGCCTTTATTCCCCATATAGGCGGCAGAAATACAAGTATAGAGAGTTGCAAAAAGTTCGAACAGACAGAGTTAATTAAAAAGAGCAACTGTCTAGACATCAAAGGAAATTGAAACTGAAATAAACATAACGTCGAAAGATCATAAAGTAGAGTTTCGCTCAAAACTTATAACCACGGCGGGCAATTGCATCCGAAGCGTCGATTAATAAACCTTGAAACAGGAAAAATATTGCTCGGGATGGCTGATGTTTTTCTGCGATTAGTTTCCAAAATTTGAATAATTTGATCATCTTTACTTCCGTTTTTTTGGGGGGGGGGGGGGGGGTGGGGGTTGTGTTTAATTTGTTGTTTTTTTTTGTTGTTGAAAATAACTCTAGATTTCAATTTTTTAACTAATATTCCGAAGTGTTTTATAGTAAAATCTGGATGCTCATCGCAGTATTTAAAAAATAGGCTAGGATAATCATCGGATAATCGACAATCATGCATTTTGAATATGGTCTGACAATAAATTCAAGGTTGTTCGGCTTCAGATTTTGCATGCAAAAAACGTCGAAAAGAATTGATTGCTCATTTTAATTAAATCTGTCTGTCCGAACTTTTTGCTACTAATTATATGAGCATTAAGATCTACAGGTTAAACAGCGACAATTGATAAAAAAAGGTACATGAGTTTTCAGGGTTGAAATCTGATATCGATAAGTTTAAAAAGAGTTCAAAGAGTTTTCTCTTTGCCCTGGCGGGTTTCTCCTGGCGAAGGTCAATCCCATATTTTGCTGACACGATGTTGGCATTGGAAGTTTTTTTTTATGACGCATAATAAATTATTCCAATGGAACTATTTACAAATTGCATATATAATTATTTACAGGAATAACATAAAAACATTAAATCATCATGGTAGTATCACGCACCTTAAGAACCACTGTAAGAAGGCCGGATATGGACAGCATAGACCATAGTGAAATGAACAGAAAGCAAGGTGTGCACAAAATGTGAGTTTAAGTACAAAATATAAACAGATAATTAAAGGTAAACTGGCCTATTTGAGTAAATAATAAACTTCTGAGAGCACGTCGCTATCTCCCAATGTCCCTAAGACAGACGCCGCGTTTCGAACTGGAATCGCAATGGAGATGCGTTGTTTCATGTAAAATGACTATTTTGGTTCTTGAGTAGTTTCGTTAAGTTTTCTACCCAAGATCTTGAGAAATTTGAGCGTTTGTGGACCGCATCCGCCTTGGATCTCGAAAGCAACTGGGGCGAAAATGTATCCTCGATTTATTAAGTCAGCGTATTTCGAGGTTTTACGTTTTTCGGCTTCAGAGGCAGCAGAGAAGTGAGATGCAGTGCCAGAGGACAGACGGCTTGGTGCCAGGGCGTCGACAACAGTGGCATCCCATATGAGTGACTGACCTCTCTCCCAAGGCACCAACGTGAGTCCACCTGGACGTTTCTGGTCTGCTGTGGACAGACCAGGAGGCTCGAGAACTGAAGGAATGTTGCTCGATCCTAAAGCTCGCTTCACTACATCGTTAACCATTGAGTGGCGCTGAAGCCTGCCGGCGCTTCTCCTGCACGAAAGGCCGTGGCCTCCAAAAGTGTCGACGTGCTCACCACAACGGCAGACGTGAGGCTCACACAGCTTTAGGCGCAAAGAACTTGACGGCAGGGCGGTGAGCCAAGCAGACTGTAGATTAACCTCGAAAGACTTAAGGCGAATGCGAGATTTATCGTCAGGTGCGTCGGTGATCAGATTATTAAGCCGGGTTCTGTATACGGGGTCAGACCAAGACTTCTGAAAGTTGCTCTCGGGGATAGTGGTGGAGCCAGAGAGCTCATACCATTGTGACAAGGCTCCTTCATACAAAGGGTCTGAGAAAGGCTTATTGAGGATTTCGGAACAAAATCGTGAAGAACTGCCAACAGACGAGAGATACCCGCATACGGCAAGAACAGACGCAGATCCTAATCCGAGACCACCTTAAGCTGCGGGAAGGGACGCTTGATTGCGGGCGTCAGTATCAAGTCTTATGTTGCAGATGCTCTCGAGGCTGGAGTAGAGGATGTCGTCGTATTTAGCTAAGAGTTCAGGGTAGTTGAAACACGGAGAGGAGCGAAGGATATATAACAACTTCGGGATAGAAAACGAACTCTTCAATAGAAAGAAATCATGATGAGCCTCGATGTTTTTCAGACGCAAACACATGCGCTCCAAATCAGTTATCTTGTCAGTTATCAGTCACTTTTGTGTCTCCGATGAGTTGCCTAAAAAATACAGCTCGCACTTGTCGGGACGGACCTCGAGACCTAACTTGGCACTTTCGAAGATGATCATCCGGAAGTCGCGCAGGAAGATGGTGTAATCTCCGCCTAAGTTACCATCGTCTAGATACCACAGGTTCAACTCTGATTCTACTTTGTGGGTGATTTCGTTCACAGTATCACAGAAAAATGGCGGTGCCTCACGGTCGCCTTGCTGACCACCTTCGTCTGAAGACAAAGCGGAATCACCGATGAAAAGATGTGATGCGGAGTCATAAGCTGCGTATGTATAAGGATAAAGACCTGGATAACGCTCGTGAATCAGAGATAAAAACTTGTTCCGCGAG